CCTTACTCTAGGGCTTTCATTAATCCTCCCATATGATGCAATAGAAAATGATACCTGTTACAGAATTCTGTAGGATGGTTAAAAAACTTTGTAGAAAGATTAAACCTCCACTAAACTGTGTGGGATTCTAGAATAAGACCTCAGTTGCTTTAGAGGACTGTTCTGTCAAATCCAGTGCAAATGCTGAATGATTTTGCTTTGCTGATGCTGCTTTTGGGAACTAGCATATATAGACCAATAAAACCACAGCTATGTCTGGGTAACTGTCTCTGTTGTAGAGCTCAGAGTTCTGTCACTATGAGTGAAATATCCTACCCCTAACTGACAATCAAACTGGTATCAGTTTTACAAGTAGATCAGGCCTGATTTCCACAGAACCCTCCCGGGTTGATGCCTATTACATTCTGTTCCTCAATGTCAGTTCCTATTCATAGTTATTTCCAAATATCGTATAAGTTTATACATAGCAAGGTTGCATCCTCTTGTAGACAATTAGCATGTTTCTTTTTAAAGGGATTTTAATTTACTTGCTTTCTATAAAAATTCAAGTGTTGCCAATCAGGAAATAGCTCTTCTCAAAAAAATCTACAAAGCTTAGCTTTGAGAAAAGGAAATGACAAGCCTTACATAAAGACATTGAGCTGTTTCAATCACAAAATGCCTACGAGGCCAATGCATATTCCAACAGGAACACATAAATTATAATTATGGCAGCAGTCTCCTCCAGTCTAAAGCACCGTAATAATGGTCGTTGATCAACGCTTATCTTGATCTCTTTAACCAGCAGCTCCGGCCAAGAAATGTTCAACTGCCAAGACGTGGTCTGGAACATTTTTGCCTGCATTTTCACAGGATACCTAAGGAAAAGAAATCTGGAATCTGACATTCTGCCATCCAAAGGTACATCATTTCACAGGAATGTGATGTAGACTGCATAGTGCATGCATAACAAAACAGAACCCTACCAATAAATTAACTAAAGTCATACACTTAGTAACCTTCTCCATACCAACAGTGATTTGATTCAGGTGAGTTTCAGTTCAGGTACCAAGCCAACCTTTGCAAACACCATGCTCAAGAACATGATGAGCTGAAAATGTGGAATGGGATTAGCAGAAAACTGTGTCCAGCCTTCCTCTGGCTATGTTACAGTGCTGGAAACCACCACAAGCGTTCATGGGTGCGAGCCCAAAGTCACAAATGAAAATCATTGCACTTCTTTAGATCACCAATGCTGCAGTGAGTCACTACACAAGAATGGACATGGTACACTGAGGTTCACAGAAAACTTTGTGTTTCTTTATCTTCCCAGCTTTAGGATATTTTTTTTAATTGTTTTTAAAGTATTCCGCTTTTTGAATGTCATGGGTGTTCTTTTCTATCAATTTGTTTTGATGGTAATTACTGCAAGAGCACTCAAAAAATTGCTGATGATGTAATACCAAGATTCTAATCCATCCTATGAACATATATGTTCTTGTAAGCTGATAATTTTAACAGTATGGAACTTTTTGAAATTTGAGAATCATCCTGCAGACTACTAATGCACAAGGCTTGGCTCTTGCAAGCACTGAACCATTCATACCTTTTGTCTGCTTAATCATTAGTGGCTCAGAATGACCTTGTCAAAACTTGACAATTAATACAAAGTTCTGACAATTAATTCAAAGTTCTACCAGCATGTGCAGATTTTTTTCATGTTAGAAGGCAGCAAGATAAACATAAGGATGATGCCCTAAATTATCAAATTATATAAAGAAATGGCTGGCCACAAGAGACTCGGAACACCTGATGAAAAGTGCTGTGTGTACTCACCACCCATCAAAATCAACGAGTGATGAAGACAACCACAACTTTGCAGAAGATACTCAGTACTTCAAGAAAACCTGTTTCCAGATCTACTATATCCTCAACCACATCTTAAAATTAGTCTCTTAACCGTTCTCCACATGGGATTGTTTTTATCAATGTTCTTTCCCCTCAAGTTGTCTATCTGTTTGCAGTAGACTGAAAACGAATACTGCAGCAAATTAATATGACCTGATAATTTAACTTTCAAAGTATGATGATATTATGGCACTAAAAAGAAAATATTTACTTTCTCTTTATAAAAAAGGAAAGAAACAATAGATAAAATGTACAGTGAGAAACACTGTGTTAAGAGACCAGTTTGGAGGAAATGTGAGAAGGCTAAAAGTTCATTCTGCACATTTCTTAAAGTCATACGGGACCTTCAGTTATTCCCTCTAGAGGCAGCCCAGTAGCATTATCTGCTGTAGGTCTCTCTTCTTTCTTCACAGAGTTCTGATCTAGCAGGCTGACGTAAGATTTATGACAAGCTGTATTACCCAAAGGAGGGTAGTGTTGTCTGTAGCAAATATAAGCAAAAATGAGGCCAATGATCCCTCCAACGAAAGCATCTAGATTAAAAAAAAAGACAACAAAAACAGAAGCATGTTACCATGGAAATGTCAGGCAGCAGTGACAACTGTAAATAAAAGACATTTGGTTGATGTGGAAGTGTTTAACCCAGGAAAACATGAACTTCAAATATTCGTAAAGAATTTGGAGCCAAATACCACAATTACACAGGACACATAAAATCAGTACTTTGTTGGGGATATCTCCAACATTTTGAAAACCCAAGATGTAGATTGTTGGCTGTGTTTTGGGAGATAAACAACAGGAATAGAATGGCCTCTGTGGAGCATTAAACATTCATGATGTGGCACATCACTGTTGATCAACATGAGTGGGTAGGCAACCCATGAATCCTCTTCCAGTTTGCCATCATTTCCAATGACCACCAGCAGGTTTTCTATTTACGGACAATACCACTGACCTGTGCTGCTTTGTGAATCCTCTTCCAGTTTGCTATCATTTCCAATGACCACCAGCAAGTTTTCTATTTATGGACAATACCACTGACCTGTGCTGCTTTCAGCAGCCAGAGCTCTCCTACTGATGGGTACATCTCAACCTATTGCACTGACTAGAGTCTGCTCCTTGTCTCTGCCCAAGTACCCCCAGGAAAGATGGTAGCTAAAGTGCCAGATCTACCCATGATCATTTTGTATTCCAGAAGGTATTCTCCAATACAGACAGGGAGCAGGTAGCATATAAGTGGGAAATTATCTCCTTTCAGGCCCTGGGCCACTGTAGCTAGAACAGTTCATTTCTGTTGTTGGTCCTGAAAGGCCACAGTGAAAGACAAGTTGTCAAGAATAATTTTAAGCTGGATAAATTCTTACTCAAAGCACCTGACAGATCGAAGACTAAGCATGCCTGTTAACTTGTTCAACACCTTCTGAATATTTTTCTTTGAGGATTTTTACTGTCCCATACTCCTACCAGAAAATTGGCCAGAAAAGGCCATTGTATTAGGTATTTGCAGCTCTCACACATTGGAAGCTTTCTATGGGAGCCACATAGCACCCAATGAGTATGAGGATTCATTGTGTTGTCAGGTTCTGCCTCTTACTAAAACACCTGATCTTGTGTTTCACTTCCAAACAAGCAGAGCAATATGTCACTGTAAAAAAACTTTGAAAGCTTTGTCTTTGAAAGCCTGATTTAACACAAACCATAATGGAAGTGAGGCAAAAGGCATTGGCTAGAGTATGACTCGACACTACACTTTATTTGAACAAGACCTACTGAGCACCATATCCTCTATGTATACCTGTGTTTCCATATGTTACTTTCAATTACAAAGAAACCACAGTGTAACAAAAATGGTGAATCTTTGAGTTTAATGACAAGGCATAAATCAATGCAAATTATTTTTGCCTAAAGTCCTTAAGTACAGATTAAATGCTCTAGTTTGTCAGCCTCATATATTTTAGAACAAAGGGCATGTGCTTCAATTTTCAGTGGGTAATAAATGGTTTGTAATTATCAGAGCAGTGAGACTCCTTTTAAAAGGAATAGCTAGGGCAAGGGAACCTGAAAAATTTAATATTGAGGTGGATAAATTTAAGAAATGTGATTATAAGTCACAGTTGAGGAAGAAGACCAGACAGAGTGACTTAGGAGATCCCTTCTAATCCTAAATTCTCATCCTACATACAAAAGGACATAACAAATCTAATCATAAACAAATGCAGTAGAGGCTCAAGCAAGATTTTTAAAAGTGCTTGTGTGTACACAGCATTTGCAAGCAAATGGAAGTTTATCCTTCCCACACTGGAAACTGACTGATTTCATACCATCCAGACTGTCCCTATCAAACTGTCATGGTACAAAAGGTACCAAGGGCAAGAATTCTCACTGTGCAGCGTCAGTCGACTTGCAACAAATGTAGTTATAGTGACAAGATGAATTTTCTAGAAACCTGCGCTAGGGGCAATTCTCAGATTACCCTAGTTTACCTGTGGTTGACTGGATATTGTTCCAGCTGCTTTTTTATTTTGCTTAACAATGAGGTCAAGTCCATGACCACTATTTTTAATTATGGAGAAACATCATATTTTTGCAAGTGCTCTATAAGTTCCCCGGTATTTCAAGACTTGCTGAAATTTTGCCTAGATAATTTATTTCAAAACATTTGCACACAAATTATGCAACTCTGGGCCTCGGTTTGGGCACCACAGTAATACAGACTCACTACAACAGTTATGCCAAAGATTTCTAGCTTACTGACCTTGACTGGGGGTAAGGAGCAAACACATGAGCAGCTATTTTGACTCCTGTTTTCGAAGTCAATTCTGTAATTTGAGGTCATGGTAGCCATAACTCTCTTTTTTTTCTTTTTTTTTCCCCTTTGTCCATAAAGGAAAAAGAATATTCTTTCAGTCTCAGTATTCAACTTTATTTCCACTTATTCCATGAGTAAATTAACATTTTCAGAATTATAAGCTAATACAGAGATCTAGGGATTTAAAGCAGTCGATAAATTCAGGAATCCTAATGAAATATCCTAATATTCACCAATACCAACACTGAGACCTTGAATACTACATTCTCCAGCCAAAGTGAAGGGAGTTCATAAAGTTCCCATAATATTAATGTTCCAAGCCCACTCAATGGCTTTTTAATGTGAGGATACTCCACTCTTGCACCTACAGTATGCTAAGTCTTGGACATTAAAGTGATGGTCCTTTTTCATTCCCCACAGTATAGTTAAGGCTCTATCACAAAGCCACCATAAATAATTTAACAGAATTAGTTGACTCTGCTGAGCATAAAAGTTGAGGCCTGAGGTTCTGTGCAGTGTGTTACAGAGTGAACTAGTCTCTCCCATGAGAACACAGCTCTTTCAGGCAAAAGCATAGGTCACCTGCAGAATAACGTCTGCCAGCACTATTCTTAGCTTGGTTTTCAGCTCCATCTCCTTAAAATTCAAAGACAAAATATGAGCAGCTGTAATGAACACAGCCATAACCCCTTGGGTGCAGTTTTCCTCTATCATGTATAAAATACACCATAATAATCTGCCTCACAGCACATGTTTCAGTACATAAATAATTCTTACTCTTGGCAAGAGACAGTACACACTGTAAACACGTGTTCAAAACTTAAGAGTAAACCTGTACACTCCCATTCACATTCAGTCACTCTGCTCTTTCTCTTTAACAGAGAGCTCAAACCACCAAAGTGTCACACACAGCATAAGATCTGTTGTCTGTCCTGCCTCCCAGCCTGGCAAGACACACAACCCGTGCTCAGCAGCTTTGTGCTGGAGGCTCTCTCCAACTTCAGTGCTGCTGAGCAAAGAAGAGTACTGAGACCTGAGACAAGAGCAGAAGTCTGCTGGAAACCAGGAGACTCCTTAAAGAACATATCAAGGCTAATACCTGGTGATTAAGCAGCAATGGGAGAACAGCAGGAACACAACAGGGCAAGAAGAAGCATGTATAAGTCTTGCTCTGGTGTGCTCACTGCTGTATGAGATAAGAAGGTGCTCAGTGGGAAAGAGCTATGATGCACTTAACTGAGACTCGGTAAAGGAACCAACATACGTCTTTATATTGGGTATCGTGGCCAGGTTTTGGTAGAACGTAGGGGTGCAGGGGTGGCTTCAGTGAGAAGCTGCCAGAAGCTTTCCCTGTGTCCAACAGAGTCAATGATAGTCAGCTCCAGGGAGGACCCACTGCTGGCCAAGTCTGAGCTCATAAGCAACAGCTGTAGTGCCTCTGGGATAACTTCTTTAAGAAATGGGAAAAAAACCCAGGCAACTACAATGGCAGCTGGAGAGAGGAGTGAGAACATGTGAGAGAAACAGCCCTGCTGACCCCCAGGTCAGTGAAGGAAGAAGGAAAGGAGCTGCTCCAGGTGCTGAAGCAGAGATTCCCCTGCAGCCCATGGTGAGGAAGATTGTCCCCCTACAGCCTGTGGAGGTACATGAGGGAGCAGAGACACACCTTCAGCACATTGAGGACACCACACTGGAGCAGCTCCTGGCAGGACCTGTGGCCCCATGAAAAGAGGAGCCCACACTGGAGCAGGTGTGTCTGGCATGACTCATGACCCTGTGGAAGGGACCCATGCTGGAGCAGTTAATGAAGAACTCTATCCCATGGGAAGGACTCACATTGGAGAAGTTCATGGAGAACTGTCTCCTGTGGGAGGGACCTGCACTGCAGCAAGGGAAGAGTGTGAGGAGTCCTTCCCCTGAGGAGGAAGGAACAGCTGAGATGATGTGTGATGAGCTGACTGCAGCCTCCACCATCCCCCTGTGATGCTGGAGGCAAGAAGGGAGAGGAAATGGGAGTGAAGTTGAGCCTGGGGAAAAGGGTGAGGAGGAGAGAGGGGAAGGCATTTTTAAGATTTTATTTCTCATTCTCCTTCTCTGATTTAACTGGCAATATATTAAACTACTTTCCCCAAGTCATGTCTGTTTAGCTGGTGACAGTAACTGCTGAGTGATCTCTCCCTGAACTTATCTGGACCCATGAACCTTTCATTACATCTTCTCTCCCCTGTCCAGCTGAGGTGGGGAGTGACAGAGAGGTTTTGGTGGGAACTTGGTGCCCAGCCAAGGTCAACCCACCAGAGTCTTGGAAAACAGGAAACAATCTGTAACCAGTATGAACCAGATAATTGAAAGGAGCACTCAGGACCTTGAGGGGAGTACAATTTGCAAAGCCAGCAGTACTGTACCAGCAATACCACATAAAGCCAAGATGACCTACATAACAGTATCAGAAATACCAAGGATGGTATTTCTTACAGGCAATATACAGGGACAAATAGGGAAGAAGTAATTAGAGGCTGATTAGCTTAGTAGGAGACAGGAGTGAAGGAAGGAAGGTAAAAAGGTGGCAAAGAAGAGGATGGAGAAATGGTAAAAGAAATAACAGTTGGTAGGATATTTTTGAATCATAACTCAGTAATATAAGTGTGTAAGTAACAAATGCAATAATTTTCTACATCAGTTATGTCTCACACCTGGATTTTAAAGGATTGAGACAATAGTCTTCCTGTGACAGATGCAGATGATTCGACTGGTGTTGCACTCCAGAAGTGCCTACTGTCAGGGAAGAGAGGATGCTGTGGCAGAGAACTGAATCTATGATGGTCAGTGCTGGCTAATTCAACCTCACCAAGAAACCTCAGCATGAATCCATAAGCAAGGAAAAGCTATCATGTTTTAACTCACGTGATGTAATGAAAAAAATAAATTCAAATTAATACATGGTTATTTAAACAAAATAGTAGGAAAAAATAAAAGGTATCCTCATGGCTCACCTTGCCAGTGATGTTTGTAATCACACATACGTGACAGGGCAATCATCATGGCACAGTAGAGAGGGAGAATTGCTGCACAAAGCCTCCAGCTCTTGCCCCGACCATTCTCTGTGAAGCAATGCAACTTCCCAGCCAAGTAGAAGGTGGTAAAACCAAGACCTGAAAAAGCAACTGATAAAGAAAAACACATAACTATGCTATTTTGTTGTTAACACTGCACAATACTATCCCTGAAGATCCAGTAGCAGGATTCTTCTACTCCAGAGAAGTTTGGGATGTTCTAGGGTGATTAGGAGCTAAGTTGACAGACTCATCTGCAAAAAAACTGAGGGAGTTTTGATTTGAATGGTGATCCTATGTAACCATATAAATGATGCTGTTACAACTTAGTATTTATAAGGATGTAGCAAATTGCCTAGGTAAAGAGTTTCCCTGTTTAGGCTTGGGGTTTTTTTAACAACCAACCACAATCTTACAAAGTTTAAAACCCTACATCTTTGGGGGCTGAACAGGAAAAGATCCAGGAGGTACATATATTCTCCACAGCAGTGTTGTTCCCTGTGTAGCAACCAGGGAAGTGAACAATGTGAAACAAACCAACTTACTTCTCATACACACTCAGCTTTCACATAACCTGACATGTCTGCAAACACTGTGGTACCTCTAGACATTCACCTATTGAAAAAGAAATTTTTTTCCTTCAGCAATTTACCTTTTTCCTCTGGGGGAGACATCAGCTGTGAAAAGAATGCCCCATGTTATTTGCACACTAAATTAAACATTTAAGCTCGTTTTTCATATGAGTCACAAAAGCTTTTTCATGCTTCAACCTTCAGCACATCTCTCCTGATTTTAGACTTATTCTAAAAAGTTCAGGTTCAAAGCAGAAAAGGCTTCAGACAATTTGTACTGCCACAGAATTACATTTAAATGAGATTTTTAGGTTTCATTAACCAGTTTCTATAGAACATGCACAACTGGCAGGGATGAGAGAACTCAGGCACCAAGTTTCTGTACTGAACTTCTTTCCTCTTGTAGCTGTTCACCTTACAGAGAGACACTGGATAGACTTTTTTTAAAATTTTATTTTTAAAAAAACAAACACATTTGAACTTTTTTTTTCCCCTAAGAAAACTAGTGCTGTTGCTGAACATGTAGTTTTGTGAAACACATCTATTTTCTTCTCAAATGTCATACTCAATTTTGCTCCTGACTGCAGAGATTAAAAAACTAGACCTGAGTACGTAAGACACGGACAGCAAAATTAAAAATATTATTCCAAGCATTTGAAATCATTTTTCCTTACTAAGTCACCTTTGCACTTTTTATCTTTGTGATATCTAATCAACTCTGTAGGAGGGAAGAGGTGACATTCATAATTCTGTTCTGGTTGTGCTATCAGTGAATTAAACAGTAAAATCACTATCAGTGCTGGGTCAGACATACATCTTTTTCCCAATCTCCTGCTAGGGCTGTTTAAAATGCCCTTCACCTCAGGTTCCCAAATGTCAGGTGTGGGAGAGCAATTACTTTGTGTTCTGCTGATAAATCCATGGGAGGGTCAATTTTAGCTGCTAGCACAATGGAGTGGTTTCCTAAGTTCATACTACAGAGCTGTCTGAATGCAACTACTGAGGATTTGCATTTCATCTTCAAGCACCCAAATAAATCACTCCTCTAGACTGGCTGTGGTGGGGCAAGACAGAATGTTGATTAATCATCACACCACTACCCCAAATATATTGTTTCCCAGATGCTTTTTCAACTAGTGCTGATTCCATACTTGTCAGAAGACAGTGGGAGGAAACCTTTAAAAAGTAACAATCCTGAATAAATAAAAGATTTCTTGTTGACTGGGTTACCTCCATGTGTGCAGACCTTTGAGGGTTGTGCAAACCTACTCTGCCTTTCAGACTGTGTATTGAACAAGAAGTAACTTCTTCTGACACTTCATAGAATTCTTGAAGTGAATGTATTTTCCTAAAAGCAGCATGTTCTACAGAGGAACAGGCTGTGAGATGCATAGTCAGCACTAGGCTATAGCCACCATGAAAAAATAAATCTGTGATCATGACCACATAGTTCAGAAAACTGGGATACTCCCCTCCTTTTCCAAACACCCTCTGCAGCTCTTAGTACCCACCATAACTTGACACACCTAAACCAACAAATAAACATTTCTTCTTCCCAGTGTAGACCTTCTCTTGTGCCTCTCACATTTGCTGGATTAGCCAGTGGAATATGACAAAAGACAACACTGCTCTCCTTTGTGCTCTTTCTGGTGCACTAGATAATTTTTGTGGCATTGCCTTTTGTATCAAAGATTTGCAGTTCTTTATAGGGTTGTTTGGGAGTTGTATTTTTTGATGGCTAATAACACACGTGCACATCTGTGTGGGTAGACAGAGGGTTGTCCATTCTGCCAACCTCTGGAACTAGAAAAACATCTAATCTCACCTGAAACTGCAAGGACAGGACTCATCTGCATCATTCCATCTTCCAGAGGAGGAACTGGAGTGAGCAGAACTAAACCTGTCTTGGATATGCAATATCAAATGCAACCTTGGAATGAATACTTTCAAATGCTTCCTCTCAAAATTTTTTTTTTCTTCATATTTCATCTCAGGTTATTATTTATTAGACCTATGGATGAACTGAAATCTGAAGACATTATTCCCAGGCAGAAGAATCCATTTCTTTGTGGTTTCATTTTTCAGGCAAACTACAATGCCTAGCAATTTAAAGGGCTTAAAGAAATGTTGACTAAACTATAAAGTAGGTGTTTGGTTCACACAGACTCCTATTCAGGATTACCAGACAATTTTATTGCCAATTGTCAATGTGGTGCACAGCAGCAGTAGATATAGCTCAAGGGGCTTTAGAGAAAATATGGTGATACTTTTAAAAAATTATTTACCCGGAATTTGTGTTTGGTTTTTTTTCAGGATCTGACATATTTCTAGAAGGAGGTGCTCAAAACATGGAAATTCAGGAGGAACTATAGTGGTACTTGTAGTATGTCAAAAACCAGCTTAGCTTCCTCTTGGGCATTATCATTACTGGAGTAAAAAAAAACTGTATTAGACTCAATTATTCAGCTTGTTTCTATCACATTCTTTCTGGGGAAAAAAAAAGTTCACAGTAGAAATAAGGAGGATGACAGCACCAGGAGATCCCATCCTGACACCTGATTCTCTCCAGACAGGGGATCTAGGCAGGGGATCTGTACAGGCTGAACTGATTACCAAGTTGAAATGCATAAAGTGAAAAACTGTAAACAAGAATCTGATCTAACACACCCCAAATAAATTATTCATTAAAAATTGTAATTGTTTTCCTCAGTGTTTTCAGGAATTTAAACTACCCCATGAGGCTCTTCAGCTTCTCAGGTTTTAATGGATGCTTTGCTAAGCACACAATAAATGCCTTTTTCCACACAAAGCAGTTTTTGAGCTGAAGAAAAAAAATCCTCAACTTACTTAAGTGGCATCAAATTATAAAACTGCAAAACAACCATTCAAATTGCCTCTATAAGAATCAGAGAAAATGATCCATCTCTTTGTCTGTAATGTTTTATACTTGCAGTGATTACTATACATTATCCAAACACAAACATATACTATTCATCACTGGAATTGCACAGCAGCCTACTGTGCAATTCCAGTAGCTAAGGCTACTGGCAAATGTTTCCAGTTTCAGACTGTTCAAAGACCGAAATATTTATCTTTCTTGAAGGAAAAAGTATGATACCAAATGAGTGCATAAATTTTAATGCTGAAATTCAATTCAAAGAGCATTTTATAGAAGTAGAATTCCCAGAGAACATTTTGAGCTTATTATCACAGGCAAAATATTTTTATTTTTTTTTCCAAGTGGGACAGTCAATCACTTTCCCTTTGGCTTAGCTTTGTTAATTTCTTTTCACAAAAAAAGACAGTTCAGCAGAAGCAACATGAAAAGCACATCACAAAATACAAATGTATGCAGGGACCTGGGAAACAAAAAAGAGTTATTGGAGACAGAGACATGTTAGAACAAAAATAGACCTACATGATCTGAAAAGAAAGTATATTAGTCATTATGTTGTTTTTGCAGGACTGTCATAGTGAATTCTTGTGAAACTTCTTTTTTTTTCCCCTGACATATCTTTTATACAACTTTCAAGATACGTCATTTCACCTGAAATACCTAAAGTGGGCTCAGGGTGCATCTCATTGCCATCAAAAAATGAGAACTCCCTTATGATTTGTTCAGTTCATGATGCCAGTTACAAAAAGTGCTAGAAGTGAACCTGCTTCATAGCTTACTTTGCCATTTCTGTTGATGGAAACTTTGAACACATCCCTCTTATCTGAGAACATAGTAAAGACCAGCCCAAACCAGCTCAGATTCTGGAATTACTTTGAACAAAAGGGGCCCATACTGAGGCTCTAATCAAAGAGGCCTTAGCATTAATATAAGCTACAAGATTACAAGACTGCCAATACCTCCCTGCTTTCCAACTACACTTGGTGAAATCAGGTCCAACTAATGAACTTGCATCAGATTTAAACCCAGGGCAGAATGAGATCAGGATGGAGCTGGTCCTTGAACACACCCATGGGGATGCTGCTCTAGCATGGTCCCTTGTGCACTCTTCATCTTACAGACATCAGGAATACCAAGCGTTGACTAAATTTGTTTGTTAGACCAAATGTCCAACCCTCTATGAAAGAGTCCTGACACTATACCTCCAGTTTCTTGCAAAAACCACCCCAAACCTGAGATAAGAGTTGACAGGTTAACTCAAACGGGTCAGAACTAATTAAACAGCTACATCCTGTCAATTATCAAGAACCGAAGAGTAAATTTCCCTTTCTGACAGACTTTAGCCTAAACACAGTATCTAGCCACAAACTTTAGATCACTTCTACAACTCTAATACAAGTTATGGTCAAGGGGGGCATTTATGAGATATCTAACTATAAATAACTCCTGTCAAGAGCAATTTTTTCCTTTCCAGTTCAACGCTGGACTATACCAAATCCCACCCATTGGGATCAGGGTAACATTTTGCTTTGCCATACATATACCATCAGTAGCACCTTTGATAACAGATCACATCCTGCTCAACTGCTTAGCATTCCATTCACCATGCCAAGTATCTGTATCATTCTTTCAGGGATGTGCAT